TTCAGGTCTTTAAGGCTTCAGGTGCTATATCTTTTGGTAGCTGGGCACCATCAGCTTTCTTCACCACACTTGCTTGTGCACCCATTGTCTTTAGTGACTTCAGGTGTTATATCTTTTGGTAACCAATCACCATCCGCTCTCTTCACCACATTTTCTTGTGCACCCATTGTCTTTAGCGATTGTGCCAGGTAGGTGAGCATCTCAGACTGCCGAATTGTTAGAACAAAGTGTATTTGTGTTGGGGGAGTACTTGTGCAGGGGCCCACTGTCCATCTGTTTTCTTAATACTCAACTTATAACTATATGCACATAGATCTATTTCCCCCTCGTCATATATAAATATATTTACATCTTTATATGTCTGTATTTACATCTCTATGACTACCCTTTACCTCCTAGTTCTTTCCTCTATTTCTTTGTACTTTCCTCTTGTCCCACTATCATGTTCTGCCTTCATTTGGGTTTTAGGCATTCCTCGTGGTTATATTGCCCTTGATCCAGCCCTGCAAGCCTTCCTGCACCCTCTTGACATTGAGTTTGGATCACTTGTTGTTCTGAATGCACCCATTCTTCTTCAGTCTTATTCAGTGTCCAACTTTCACATGCATATCAAGCAGTGGAAAATATTACGGCTTGAGTCAGGCACACTTCAGTCCTCAAATTAGCATCCTTGATTTTCAATACTCGAAAGAGGTCTTATGCAAGTAGATTTACCTAATATAACATGTCTTTGGATCTCCTGGCCACTGCTTTCATGAGCATTGATTGTGGATTCAAGCAAGATAAAATCCTTGACAACTTCAATCTTTTCTCCATTTGTCATGGTTTTGCCTATTGGTCCAGTTGTAAAGACTTTGGTTTTCTGTACATATGTAATCTGTACTGAAGACTACAGTCTTTGATCTTCATCAGCAATGTTTCAAGTCTTTCTCAATTTCAGCAAGCAAGATTGTATCATCTGCATGTTGTAGGTTAATAAGCCTTCCTCCAAACCTGATGCCACATTCTTCTTCATACAACGAAGCTTGTCTGATGATGTGCTCAGCAAACAAATTGAACGAATATGATGGGATGATACAACCCTGCAACACATGCTTCCTGATTTTAAACCATGCAGTATCCCTTTGTTCTGCTGGCAAAACTGCTCTTGATCCATGTACAGGTTCTTCATGAGCACAATGAAGTATTCTGGAGTTCCCATCTTTTCAAGGTTATGCACAGTTTATTATGGTGTGTTAGTCTGGGTAGACTCGAGAAACAAATTCATAGATACTCATATGTGTATACGAAAGAGTTTTATATACAAGAACAATTGAATATTCAAAAAGCATCCCAGCCCAGTCCCGAACAAGTCCATAAGTCTGATATTAGCCCGTATGTCTGATACCAATCTATAAAGTCCTCTTCAGACTCACGAATCACATGCAATGATGCCGAATGCAGGAAGATCACAGGTCATTGGGAGGGAAGTCTTGTGGATCCAGCGTTCACAGGGGTTTCCACGTGGCTCCTCCAGCACAGGGCACTAGTGTAGTTCCATGTGTCTTTTCAGCTTCAATGTCTCCCACGGAGTTAGCCTGTATCCCACCTCCAACGAGCTATTTATCTCCCTAGTGCTTCAAAATGAGGTCATCAAGCTGTGACCTGATTGACAGGCCAAACTCCACCCCGTTACTCATAAGTCTCAAATTGACAATAGATTATGTAACTACCACATATGGTCCACACAGTTGAATGCCTTTGTATTTAAAATAACAAAGTGAAGGTGAGAGCGATAGAAAGCTATATGTAGAGAGGATATGTGTGTGGTATATATGCACTGTTAGGTGCTGCCGGGTTGCTTCCAGCTCATCGTGACATTATGTATAACAGAATAAAATGTTGCTTCTGGGTCATGCTCACAGCGGTTGCTATTTTTGAGTTTGTGCTGATTCATTTCACTGAGGCTTTCCCTCTTTCTCTGACCATGACTTCACCCCCCATGAAGTTCTTCTCCATGGGCTGGTCGCGGTTCAGAGTAAGCTGGATAAAGTCTTGGTGCTCTTCTAAGAAGCATTCAGGTTGGACTTCTTCAAGGCAGATATGATTGTCCTTCTGGCAGTCCATGTTATAGTCAGTGTTCTTCACCAATGCCACAGTTTAAATGCATCAACTCTTTTTTGGTCTTCTTTCTTAATTGTGCAACTTTCGCATGCCATGTCATTGAAAATACCACGGCTTGGGGCAGTTGCACTTTATCCATCAAAGTCATGCATATGTAGAATATGCAGGCAGACCTCATTTTATTGTGGTATATATGTCTTATATATGTAATGCATATGAACTAAGAAAAAAATGACCTTTACTTGCATATGATGTAAAGCTAATTATCAGAGCAGTAAATACACACCAGAAAACAACAACAACAATAACAACAGCAACAACATTGCTTTGCGTTGACTTGGTCTTGTGCACCTAAAGGAGAAGTCAACTTTCCAGGGCTATAATCCTTCAGAAGTGGACTGTCCCATCTTCTTCCTACGGAGCAGCTGGCTTAGTGGACCTGCTGACTTCTCCGGTGGTAGCCAAGCGCTTAGGCAATGTACCACTGGGAATGTAAGGGACTGGAGACTTCTGAAAATTGTGCCTTTCCTTTTAGTAACTAGGTACATGGAAATAAAAACAAGAATGAAATTCCCTTCCCCACTCACCTGATGGTCAAAGATTAAAAAGAGTAAGCATCATGAATATAGAAGAAAAAATGAACATCTTATTTAGAAAATATGAATTGTTTCAATATTTTGGGAAAGAATACCACATAATGCTTATTTTAAAAAATACCATTTTATTCTGTTTCATGTTTAGCATAGTGTAGTTTTATAAGGCAAAAAAAGCATAAAATATCTTGAATATCCGTCAATTGAGAAATAGTTGAATACATTATTACATATTTATGTAATTAAATATTAAGCAAATGTTAAAAAAGATGAAGTATAACTGTATGAATTAACCTGGACAAATATTCATGATATATGAAGATTTCAAAAAGTGTATATTGCTATCTAGTTTGTTTTTCTTTTAATTAATTTTTAAAATTCCATGACCAGATGAGCTCTGGTGGTGGAGGAGGGTACACTTTGGTCTTGGAGTCATGAGGTCACTAATTCAAAACTTCTGCTCCCAAGGGGAAGGATGACACTTTCTCCTCTTACAAAGAGTGACAGCTTCAGAAACCCATGGGGCAGTTCTGCTCTGACCTCTAGGGCCACCCCCAGTGGCCATGACGTCATTTGGTGTAATAATACAGAGCTCCAAACCCACTGCCATCTAGTAGATTCTGATTCTGGTTTTTTTTTTAGAATCAGAGGATCATCTGTTTCTATCTACTTTCAAAATTTGAAAAAAATGACCTTTACTTGCATATGATGTAAAGCTAATTATCAGAGCAGTAAATACACACCAGAAAGTAGATAGAAACAGATGATCCTCTGATTCAAAGGTCAATTTTTCAAAAATTAAATGAAAAGCATGGGATTAACAGATAAAAAGATAGTGGAATTGTCCTAAAAAAATATTCAAGCCCTTGAAGGTAATCAAGCGGCCATCAAGCTCAGAAGCAGCAAAGCCCACATGGAAGAAGCACACCAGCCTATGCAATTACGAGGTGTCGAAGGGATCAGGTATAAGGCATCATCAGAACAAAAAATCTCACCATAGTGAATGATGGGGGGAGTGCGGAGTGGAGACCCAAAGCCCATTAGTAGGCCACTGGAGATCCCCTTGCAGAGGGGTCTCGGGGAGGAGATGAGCCAGTCAGGGTGCGATGTAACAATGATGAGAAATACAACTTTCCTCTAGTTCCCAAAGGTTTCCTCCCCGCTCCCACTACCATGACTCGAATTCTATCTTGCAAGACTGGCTAGACCAGAGGAGGTACACGGGTACACAGGGAGGGTAAAGGGAGAATGGGTAGGAAAGAGGGAACCGATTACATGGAACTGTGTGTGACCTCCTCCCTGGGGGACAGACAACCGAAAAGTGGATGAAGGGAGACGTCGGACAGGGCAAGATATGACAAAATACCCATTTATAAACTATCAAGGGCTCATGTGGGAGGGGGGAGCGGGGAGGGAGGGGAAAAATGAGGACCTAATGTCGGGGGTTTAAATGGAGAGAAAATGTTTTGAGAAACGATGTACAAATGCGCTTTACACAATTGATGTGTGTATGGATTGGGATAACAGTTGTATGAGCCCCTAATAAAATGTTAAAAAAGAAAAAAAAATTCAAGCCCTTTGTATGACAAAAATGATCATTTTCAATATTTTTTACACATAGAATTCTATCACTTATTGTAATCCTGTTGTGCAATCATCACTACTATCCATTTCCTTTTTTAAAAAGACAAAATTCAAACAAAATCAGCAACCCCCTCCCCCTCCAAAAGCCTCTAAATATGCATTAGGGTACAGGTAGGCACATATACACTGTTTAGTATTTTATTGATTATCACAGGCAGGCATGATTGCAAGGTATGTGTAGGGCTTAATTACGGCCATGAGCTTGAAGTGCCTTTGTAATAAAAATAATTTGATGCTGTGAAAATATGGGAATCACTGGATAAGCCAAAGCCAATAAAGCTGGGAGTATAGCCTTAGCCCTGCTCCAAACTTGCAATGTATTGCTTTCTGCTTATATTCTGTTTCTAAATACAGCATAGAGGTGGTTATGAGTGTCCTATTTACTTAACTTACAATGTTGTTGTGAAGATAAAAATGAAAGGTGAAAATAAACCTATATTGAATCATTAAGAGGTACTGAAATGTAAACTGTTATCTTTGAGAAATTTCTCAAACATTCTCACTTGCTGTAATGCAGGTGACAAAGTCTCCTGAGGAAGCATCTTCTCTTCCGAATGGTGATGTAACAGGAGAGGCACAGAGCGCCACAGAGGTAAGGGTTGATATCTCAACATGACTGCTTCCACATCAATGCCTTCAAATTTCGGCTACCTCCTGGTCTTATCATCTGTTTTGTTCTACATTTTATTTTGTGGCTAGTCTTTGGTGACATTACATCCTTCGAATTGTACGGCCATTCGCATTCTCTTTTTCTCAGTTCCCCTCTATCATTAACATAAATTAACTGCTCCTTAGGATTCTTGCTGAATCTTTCTGATTGCTGTTGTCAATTTGATTCCATAGTGATAATTCTTCAATGAGCACAACAATGCTCAAGGCAGACCTTTTTTTAACTATTTAAACTAAACTATTGTTTGGCTTTTAGAGGAGTTGGGGGGGGGAGGGGTGTATTTTGGTGTAAGGTTTAAAGATTATATCAGGGCAATAGTTTCAGGGGTCTTCTGCCCTCCCTGGCTCCAAAGTCTGGCTTCAGTGCAGTGGCTCTCAACCTTCCTCAAGTCTCGGCCCTTTTGTATAGTTCCTCATGGGGTTGCTGCTTCATCACTGCAATTTTGCTACTGTTATGAATCTAGAATGCTACTGTTATGAATCCCAAAGGGGTTGCGACCCCCAGGTTGAGAATCGCTGCTCTGGCGTTAATGAAAATTTGTTATTCTGTTCTGGTTTTCTCCCCTTTTGGTCAGGATTTTTCTTCCTGTTTTTAAAAACAGTTTTATTGGTACTTAATCCACATATCACACAATTGAATAGTTCAATTGTATCAAGAAAAATTGTACATTAATTACCACAATCGATTTCAGAACATTTTTTCTGCAAACACTTACCCCACCCCCCCATGATTAAATTGCCTTTTAAAATGAGTTATGGAATCACCTTCAGTTCTAGTGCTCACTTCCCCTCCTACCTTCATTGTTTACTCCCCAAGTCCCCTCACCTTCCCCATCTCCCTTCCCCACCATATGGTCAGGATTTTTCTATGGTAACATTGATCAAAATGTTCAATAATTGTGGGGGGCACCATGCAGTTTTCTATTCTCACGGCAAAGGAGGCAGTTGATCATGGAGACATCTTGTTAGGTGTCTCCGGTTAAAAAAACCTCGGTCCTTGGCTTCCCACAGAAAGAATTCACACTGAAGCTGGTTTGTGATCCAAGTGAGTTTTAAAAAGGATAGAAGGAGTTTCAGGTTTTACACAGGTACCCCCAGGGCACTTCACACCCACCTGTGGAAACTTGAGGCCAGAGAAGCCGCTTGTACCACCGGCTGAGGAGCAGCTGGAAAGAGAGGGCTGGAAAAGAGGGTGGTGGGCACCCAAATCTGACTTTTCAGGGTCCTCCCCTGGGAGTCATGGTCGACAGTACTGGTTGACCCTATTAGCTGAATTAAGCTCACCTGGCCCAGATTGGGGCCCATCCAGGTGTACTAGCTACCTGTTTCAAATATTTGAATGTGAGCCTGCCCTCTAGCCTTAAGCAGCTTCCACCTTCCTATAAGGGAGGAGGGAAGCTTTGGCATGTCGAGGGGCATTCCCTACTTCTGCCTCTCACACAATTTCACCACACATTCCACTTCCTTTTCCTTTTCCTGACTCCTCTACTTCCTCTGTTGTTCCAGGTGAAGAGAGACCGATTATTGTGCCTTGGGTGACTGCTTGCATGGTTTTAAGATGGCAGGCACTATATAATGAATGAGGAAGTGAACAGAGGCATATGTTATTAGGCCAATTAACTTGGATGCTCCATGAAACTGTGACCCTAAACTGTCAAACTAATGAACCAAATCCCACAGGTGTTTGTACATAGGCAGACTCAGCGGTTACTCTTTTCTTTTATAGTTTTATTGGCATGCAGCTCAATAGTTTTATTATATTAAGAAGAGGTGTGTAATCATCACCACAATAAACTTTAGAACACTTTCTTCTTTCTTGTAGCCATTGATGTTATCTCCCCACTACCCCCCAACCTCCCCTGCCATGCTCCTAGGTAATTATTAATCCAATTATTGTCTCTGTCCTGGATTTAATAGACAGAAAAACACACATAACAAAAACAAGGAACAAACGAATAAAAACCCAACAATGACAAAATAAAACAGAGTAAAACCTCAAGAACACTTTGTTCTATTAAATTGGCATTCTTTGATGCTCACCTTCCTGACAATTGCTGAAGACAAACTGGGTGCACAAGCAAATGTGAAGAAAGCTGATGGAGCCCAGCTATCCAAAGATATAGTGTCTGGGGTCTTAAAAACTTGAAGGTAAACAAGCGGCCATCTAGCACAGAAGCAACAAAGCCCACATGGAAGAAGCACACCAGCCTGTGTGCTCACGAGGTGTCAAAGGGATCAGTTATAAGGCTTGAAGAACAAAAAATCATATCATTGTGTGCTCACCTCCCTGATACGATTGCTGAAGACAAATGGGTGCATAAGCAAATGTGGTGAAGAAAGCTGATGGAGCCTATATATGACCTCCTCCCTGGGGGACGGACAACAGACAAGTGGGTGAAGGGAGATGTCGGACAGGGCAAGATATGACAAAATAATAATTTATAAATTATCAAGGGCTCATGAGGGAGCGGGAAGGAGGGAGGGGAAATATGAGGACCTAATGCGGGGGGGCTTAAGTGGAGAGGAAATGTTTTGAGAATGATGAGGGCAATGAATGTACAAATGCGCTTTACACAATTGATGTATGTATGGATTATGATAAGAGTTCTATGAGCCCCTAATAAAATGATTTAAAAAAAAAAAGAAAGCAGGAAATATTAAAAATTGGAACAAATATGAAATGGGTCAAAAGGGAAATCAAATGATAAGGTGTTGCATTTTTGCTCTTGTTGTTGACAGAACTTCTGACAATTCAATCTTTTACAAGTACACAACTTAAGGGTGGAGCCCTACTCTACCCAGAGGTTTTCCCATCACTGTTTACTGCACCTTTCTCCATCCCTACTGCTCTAGGTGCAACCACTAATAAACGGTTCTCTATAATGAACCACTTTTTGTCTTTTATATAAGTCATACATTATTTTTTTATTTTTTATGATTGGCTTATTTAACACAGCATGTTTTCAAGTTCCATCCATGCATCAAGCCTTCATTTCTCCTACTGGCTAAGTTAATGTTCCACTGTAAGCATATACCACATTTTACTTATTCATTCATCTGTTGATAGGTATTTAGGTTGCATCAACCTTTCAGTTATTGTGAATAGTGGTGCAATGAACATTGGGGTACAAGTCTCTGCTTTTAAATCTTTTGGGTGTATACCTAGAAATGGAATCTCTGGGTCATATGGTAGTCTGCTTTTAGTATTTTTGAGTAAGTGACACACGTTTCCACAATAGCTGTATCATTTTGTATTCCCACTAACAATGGATAGGGGTTGAATTTCCCTACAACCTCACCCATATTTTTTATTTTCTATTTTTATCTTTATTAATCTTAACCATCTTAGTAGGAGTGAAATACTATTTTATTGTGATTTTGATTTGTATCTCTTTGATGGATAATGATGCTGAGCATCTTTTCATGTGTTTGGTGGCTATTTGAATACCTTCTTTTGTGAAATATCTATTTAAGCCTTTTGTCCATTGTATGATCCGGTCATTTGTACTTTTGTTGTCAAAGCTTTATTTATATTTTGGTTGCTAGATTCTTTTTGGATATATAGGTTCCAAATATATTCTCCCAGTCAATTGATTACTTGCCTTTTCACTGTTTTGTTGAGTGTTTTGATGAATGTAGGTTTTTAACTTCACGAAGTCCCATTTATTTTGTCTTTTGATCTTTGTGCATTTGTTATCATATTAGATAATCCATTGTTGAAAGCTAGACCTGACAGCATGGCCCCTGTTTGTATTTCTAAGAATTTTATGGTTTGAGTATGAACATGAGTGGGGAACCAACAAACTTAGGGATAAGGGAACAACAAGAGATCTAAAATTGATGGCAGGGAGTGTGTATAATGCAATGTATCTGAGAGGAATTACTGAGAGCCAAATGGAGGGTGAGCATAATAGTGGGATAGGAGAAAGGTGAAAGGAAATAGAGGAAAGAAGTAGGAGACAAAAGCTAGAGGTACAGCTATAGGCATGCGTATATGTGAATATATTAATATATAATGAAAAGTATAGAGACCAATGTACATATATTTATATGTTAAGTATTAAGATAGCAGACGGACGTTGGGCCTCTACTCAAAGCCTCTCTAAACACAAGAACACTTTGTTCTAATAACCTGAACTCTTTGATACTCACCTTCCCGATACAATCACTGAAGACAAAATGGGTGTATAAGCTAATATGGTGAAGAAAGCGAATGGTGCCCGGCTATCAAAAGTTATAGCATCTAGAGTCTTAAAGGCTTGAAGTTAAACAAGCAGCCGTCTAGCAGGGAAGCAAATAAACCCACATGGAAGAAGCACATCAGCCTGTGTGAGCATGAGGTGTCCACGGAATTAGGTATCAGGTATTAAAAGATTCCAAACAAACAATTATATCGATGTGAAAGAGGGGGGTTGGAGTGGAGACCCAAAGCCCATCTGTAGACAATTGAACATCCCCCCCACAGAAGGGTTACAAGGAAGGGACGATTCCAACAGGGTGCAGTATAGCACCAAGGAAACACACAATATTCAGAGGATGCTATCCCTTACCCGACTACCATGACCCAGTTTTACCTTACAAATCTGCTTAGACCAGAGTACACACATTGGTACAATAAGAGCTCTCAACACATGGAGCTCAGGACAGATAAAACCCTCAGGAACAGTCGTGGGAGTAGCATTATCATGAGGGCAGGGGGATGGTGGTGGTGGGGAAAGGGTTGAAAGGGGGACCCCATCATAAGGTTGGATATATAGCCTCCTCACCCCGGCCAGGGGAAGGAATAACAGAAATGTGGGTAAAGGGAGACAATAGACAATGCGAGACATGAAATAACAATAATAGTATGTAATTGATCAAGGATTCACGAGGGTAGGAGGGTGGGGGAGGGAGGAGAAAAGAGAGGAGTTGATACCAAGGCCTCAAATAGAATGTTTTGGAAATGTTAATGGCAACATATATACAAGTGTGCTTGCTACAATTGAATGATTGATTGTTATAAGATTTGTAACAGTCCCCCCAAAATGATTAATAATAAAGAAAATAAAGTCCTTAACTCACTTCAAATTTATTTCTAGGTTTCACATGGAGGTCTTTGATCCTTCTTGAGTTTGTTTTTGTGGATGGTACAAGCTACGGGTCCTGCTTCATTATTCTGTAACTGGATATCCAGTTTTACTAGCATCATCCGTTATAGATGATTTCTTCCCTATTTAATTTAACGACCTTGGTCAAGGTCATCTCTCCACAGGTGGAGAGATGTACTTTTGGGTTTCCAGTTGTGTTCCATTGGTGTGTGTGTCTGTCATTTTACCAGTGTCGGGTTGTGTGAACTGCCGTGGGTGTGTCTGTCATTTTACCATGTCGGGTTGTGTGAACTGCTGTGGGTGTGTAGCAGGATTTGAGATCAAGAGGCGAGAGGCCGCCTACTTTGTTGTTGTTTATCTGGAGTCCCTTTCTTTTCCATGTAAAGTTGATAGTTCATTTCTCCATCTCTTTAAATAAAGATGTTGGTCCCCTACAGAAGGGTCACAAGGAAGAGACGAGCCAGTCAGGGTGCAGTATAGCACCGATGAAACACACAACTTTCCTCTAGTTCTTTAACGCTTCCCTGCCCCACTCCAGCCCACTATCATGACGTCAATTCTACCTTACAATTCTGGCAAGACCAGAGTATGTACAACTGATACAGATAAGAGCTCACAACACAGGGAATCCAGGACAGATAAAACCTTAGGACCAATAATGAGAGTAGTGATACCAGGAGGGTAAGGGGAAGGTTGGGGGAGAAAGGGGAAACTGATCACAATGATCTACATATAACCCCTTCTCAGGGGGATGGACAACAGAAAAGTGAGTGAAGGGGAGACAGCCATTGGTGTAAGACATGAAAGAAAATGATAAATTATCAAGGGTTCATGAGGGAGGGAGGATGGGGTAGGGGGAGAAATGAGCTGATATCAAGGGCTCAAGTTCAAAGAAAATGTTTTGAAAATGATGATGGCAACATAGGTGCAAATGTGCTTGACTCAATGGATGGGTGTATAGATTGTGATAAGAGCTGTAAGAGACCCCCCCAAAAATGATTTAAAAAATAATGATGTTGGAATCTGGATTGGGGTAGCATATCTGTAGATCATTTGGGGAATTATTGATATTTTCCCAGTGTTAAATCCTCTGCCAAATGAACACAGTATATTCTTCCATGTATGTAGGTTTCTTATAGTATTTTACCCTTTTCTTTGTATAGATTGTTAAAAACCATTTTATTGGAACATAATTTCCACATCATATAATTCAATAGTCCAATCATATCAAGAAGAGTTGTACAATTGTTACCACAATCATGTTTAGCACATTTTCTTCTTTCTTGTACTCATTGTTATTAGCTCCCCATTTCCCCCCAACCTCCCCTGCCATACCCCCAAGAAACCCTTACTGTCTCTATAGAGACATCTGGGATTTCATATACCAGAAAACATACAAAAATCAAAACCAAAGAAATAAAAAAAAGCCAAGACACTAACAAAATAAAATAGAGAAAAACCTCAACTGAAAAGAAAGCAGAAAATATTAAAAACTGGAAAAATTTTAAAATGGATCAAAAGGGAGATCAAATGATAAGGTGTTAATTTTAATGTAACTACATCTGCTATAACCCCAATGCACTCTGCATGACAGCAAGGCTATTCACATCCCTGGTCTATGTGCAGAGAGGCTTCACCAGGGCTAAAGCCACATGTACCTCCTCTTCACTGAAAAAACCCCACTGATACAATATTAAATGGGTCAAAGGGGGATCCAATAGGATGTTACATTTATACCTAACTATATCTGCTGTTATGGACTCTACAATACACTCTGTCTAATAACAAGGCTATTCACAACCGTCCACTATGGTCAGAGGGGATTCACCAGAGGATTAATCTATGAGTGGACTCTACACATGAATTTTGGGCTTCCCTGTCCTCCATAGCTTTCTGCAAACTGGATGTTCACAATTTGAACTCTATAATGTTCCCTCCTTCTGATTTGGACTGTTTATTTGCAATCCTTGGATCACAGACTGATATGCTTCTTCCATGTAGACTTAGTTGATTTCTCTTATAGATGAAAGCTTGTTTGAAGACAAGCCTTTAAGACTCTAGATGCTATTCTTTTTTGTATCTGAGCACCATCTAGTTTCTTCACCACACTTTGCTATAGCACCCATATCTTCAGTGATATATAGATTTTTTTGAAACCCAAGTGATTTTTGTTGGTTGACCTTGTACCCTCCAACTTTTCATAATTTCTCTCTTAGCTCTAGAACTTTTCTTTGGACTCTTTGGGATTTTTTTCTATATGGGACTTTATTATTCATCTATAGAGATAATTTATTTTAAAAATTTCTAAAATTACTAAAGCCTCCTTCTACACAGTTATAGAAACAGTCCTGCATAAATATCAAATCCTCTAGAGTTCTCTTCATAACTCTTACAGGAATGAATTGAAACTCCTCATTCTAGAAGTTGGTGTGGATGAATCCAATGAGAAGATTTTAGATTTAATGATCTTATACTCTTGTAGTTAATTAACTTAATAAGTATTATTTCTTTGTTTTATTTTTATAGTATGAATCTCAATAAGAAAACCACAGCATTTATGGCCTGGCTTTTCCCTGGGTATTTTTTCTAAGACTTGTGATACTGTGAATTCCTCTTATGACCAGGAAACCCAGAAGGCTGAACAAACTGGAGACAATGAGGTACAAAAAGAGGATGCTGAAGATGGGAGCAACCTCGCTGAACCCCAAGAAAAGAATGTAAGTGCTTTTTTAATGGTAGTTTTATTGTTTCCAGTTCTGCTCAACAAACATGTACTGAGTTTCTGGTAGGTTTGAAGAGCTTTGCTGGGTGCTGGGCGCCCAATGTTAGAGGTAATGGTCTGCAATAAGACTACTCGCACTTGTGACACCAATGGCAACATCACACCCAGGTTTTATATTGTGCTAGAAGGACTCGCACAACTCACTGAACAACTGTTTACTGTTTGTTATGGTTTGTTATAGGAAAGGGTAACCAGCTAAATTGAGTCAATTCCAAGTGATAGTGACCTTGAGTGTGCCATAGTAGGACTGTGCTTCCCAAGGTTTTCTATGGTTGATTAATCAGAAGGAGGTCACCAAGCCTTTCTCCTGAGGCACTTCTGGGTGGACTGGTCCTGAAACTTTTTGATTACCAACCAGACACGTAAGTCTTTATTGTAACTATTTATGTGCCATACGTAAAGAATATAGAATAAAATCAGCTAAGGTATGAGGTGCATAGGACAGAGGTCAGGGAAGTACCCAACATAGAACTTCCAGCCACATTCCTGTGGAGTCAGGGCACTGTTATTGGCCTGATGACATGGGACAACATGCACAGAATGTGGAAAACCATAAAGTGCACTTGAGTCATGCTGCCCAGAGTTTTTACTGGGACTCTATTGCTAACTGCCAGTGGGATTGAACTTTAGTCTCCAACACCTCTGAAGTAGGGTAGATATTGCAGGACCCAAAGCTCCAATCATAATTTATAGTATTAGCCTGACTGGTGATCAACTGCCCAAAGTAAATAAAGGCAGTCTTCCTAGAAATCACCTCCCAGGAAGTGAAGGCAAAGGCAAGACCTCCTTCTGGGTAAGGTCAACTTTTTCATTACAACACAAGACAGTGAGGGCATGAGGTTTAGCCACAGAGGCAGATTTGGAAGGTGCAAAGAGTGTCTAAAGGAAGCCAAAGGGAAGACATTGAACCTGGACTTTTTGGAGTATAGGCTTCAGAAGGCTTTGGCAATGTGCTGTTGTCTTGGTCAGGTTAGGTTCTGTTCTGCATAGATCAAATGGGATGGGTGTTTGTAGCTGCGCTTACTCCTTGGTTATTAGTTATGGCTTATTCCTAACACCCTCTCAAATCACTAACTATTGAGAATACAGAGCTAAAAGGGTCTAATGCATTTATGGGAAGTCAATAGGCACTTGAGGATAAAACAGGGACCTTGGAATGGGAAACTGATACTCGATCCAAGTTCAATCTGGGGAATAGTGGATCCAAGCTAATCCAAGGCATGTGTTTTATTTCTAAAGGGATCTCAATGCAGGGCAACAGGAAAAGGGCTAAGGGGGCAGGATATACTGAGGCAGAGAAAATTTGGTGTCAGCCGAAGAGAAAGATATGACTGTGAGGTTGCAGTGTTGGGCAATGAGCTTTTTTTTATTGGCGTGGAGGATGCACGGTCAGTTTTATGCAGGTGGCTGTCCCTCCCAGCAAAAGTCCAGAGACAAGCAGAAGCCACCACAGAGGAGGCACCAGGCAGGACACTGGGAGAGGGAGCGGGTGCTTATGTTGTTCTTGGGGATGTCCTTCTGTGGTAAGGTGGGGTGTCTCTAGGACAAAGAATTCTGGAGGACAGATGCAGCTGGCAGTCTTTGTCTATCTAGGGCTATCAGATATTAGTTATAATTCGGAGGGCCGCGTAAAGCAGGCAGACTCTAAGTGATAGGAAAATCTGCTTATTTGGGCTATTTTAAAAAATAATTGCATATGTATACATTTGAATATGGTGCTAGTGGCTTTTCTGTTTTGCACTCATGGACCTCAGCTTGCAATGGAAAAGTCAACAACTTGGGGCCCTCTTTGACTGATATCATAGGGGGTGTTGTAGCTTCAGAAGCACTGGGTTGAGATAATGAGGAAACAGATGGGCCATTAATTCAGGGCATTTTGGAAATGTGGCGTGTCAAGCAGGGGGAAGACCATGGTTGTAGTAAGAGCACAGCAGACATTGGTAGCTAAGGGTGGAAGCGGGGCAGATGTTTGGTTGGGCCAGTTATAGTAAAGACTATCATGTATAAATCCCAATGGGTTGCCTTTTGTATACTTATTGATTCTAGGAGAGAGATGGACAGCCAGGGGAAATATGGCTAGGAAGGGGTGCAGGGTGGACAACCACACCATGAAAAGTCAGGGGGTGGTGGTGCATGGGCACCATTTTGTGTTTGTTTTAAGGGATTAAATTTTGAGAAGGGGTAGGACAATACATCCTCCCCTAGTTGAAGACTGCTCATTCAGCACATTGATAATTGAAGACTTCATTAAATTTTTTCCTTGAAGTTGTCAAAGATTTAATCTTTTAAAAAAATTTGATCATATTATCGGAGCCTTGTACAACTCTTATCACAATCCATGCACACATCCATTGTGTCAAGCACATTTGTACATTTGTTGCCATCATAATTCTCAAAACATTTGCTTTCTACTTGGAGCCCTTGGTATCAGCTCCTCATTTTTCCTCCTCCCTCCCCGCTCTCCCCTCCCTTAAGAACCCTTGATAATTTATAAGTTATTATTATTTTGTCATATCTTATACTGTCCGATGTCTCCCTTCACCCACTTTTCTGTTGTCCATAGGGGGTTATATGTAGATCCTTGTAATCGGTTCCCCATTTCCACCCCACCCTCCCAGTATCACCACTCTCACCACTGGTCTTGAAGGGATCATCTGTCCTGGATTCCCTGTGTTTCCAGTTCCAATCTGTACCAGTGTACATCCTCTGGTCTAGCCAGATTTGTAAAGTAGAATTGGGATCATGATAGTGGGGGTGGGGCGGGGGAGGAAGCATTTAGGAACTAGAGGAAAGTTGTATGTTTCATCGTTGCTACACTGCACCCTGACGGACTTGGCTCCTCCCCGCAACCCTTCTGTAAGGGGATGTCCAGTTGCCTCAGATGGGTCTTGGGTCCCCAATCTGCACTCCCCATCATTCATCATGATTTGATTTTTTTATTCTATTCCATGAAATTTTTTAAATTTGAAGGACAGAATCATTGATCTTGACCTGAGAAGTGAGATAGGGGTGGAGGTGTGTCTCATGGCCCCTGGTGTAATTCAGAAATAATGCATTTTATATGAAATACAGTGACAAATGTTATTATTTTTTCATTCATAAACTTGAACTTTGAATTCATTGCCGAATTCACTCCTGCAGTCTGACTGCTTAATTCAGTACTTGGGAAATTCAGTTAGCTTCTTTTAAGACATAGTGAACACGATTAAAACGTGGTATACCCCCAATGCCTTCCTCCCATGAAGCCGGGAGGGAACCAGTGCCTTTCTAGGCAGAAAGAGCAGAGCTTCCTTCAGCGAGAGCAGAGTTTGCTTCTGCTTCCCAGCCTTCTAGCTGGGTTGTTTCAGTAATGAAGGAGCCAGGAGAGGAGCACTGTGTCTCGAGTCATGTATCTGTCTAGGACAGTGCGCAAACGTCTGTCCTAGCTGGTTCTCGTAAACTGCTTCCTTACCGCAAACGGTAAGGAAATCGTGCAAGCAGCTGCAAACAGTGTTTCCCTGGTAGAATGTAAACAAACGGTATGGGCCGAGATACGGAACTCACTCTCGAGGCTATGAGAAATTCAAGGGTGGGGATAGCAAACTTGTCTGGGAACACTGCCAGTATTTAGTACATAAAAATAAAGCACTGCGGGCTGTCGGGGCTGCAGTTTTGTACCGTCTCTGTCTGTGTCTATTTTGTGCTGCAGCCCTGTATTGTCTC